AACTGAAAAGGTTTTAAATGTCAGTTTCATTGACTATGGTAAAAACGATACGCCCAAACTTTAAGTCAACTAAATCATGACTACAAACAGTTAAGGTGATACATATTAAACAAGGATATTTGACACAGGATTTATAGTAAAATGTAATAAAAAGATATTGACGAGAAAAACACCTATGCTAAGCTAGGCTAATTGTTCTGGCTCTAGCTAAATTAAGACATTGGAGGGGTATTGTTTATCTCATCCAAGTGTTTGCAAGGAGACAAGTGTGTCCATAAGGGAATACAAGTATTTCTTAACATTTTTATGATTTCATTAAATTCTCTTGGTATATGTAAAAATGGTATGATGAGGTCATTGAGCACAATTACGATGCAATATCTTCTCCCAAAATAACTTAATTTCGACATATACATTTGAAGATATTGGCAAGATGGGGGAATAAGTGAATTTCTTAACATTTAAAATTGTTCAATTTAATACTCTTGGTACAAGTGAAATGATATGGTAAGAGAAAGTGGATGCTCAATTATACATTATCTACTCTCAAAATATCTGGTCTTTTCCATATGTACCAGGTGTTGATTTTTCATAGGGTACACGTTGAGCTCACTGTGACTTCTCCTCCAGAGAGCACACAGAGAAAGACAGACTGAAAGGTCGTTGCAAAGTCAAACTCCCAGTTGTGAAGAGTTTCTGAAGGCAGGCATGACTCATCCCCTCTGCCACCTTGCACACATTTGAAAACATTTGGTGCGCAGTCGTTCAGTCTGCCTGTGTGTGAGCGTTCGCAGGGTATTGACTCTGTGATTGTGTGTCTATTGGCAGTGCAGACAGCCAAATAGGCAGTCAGCTATGTGAGTCACTCAGTCACCCTCGACTCAATACAGCACCGACAAGAGCTGTGAATGTGTGTGTGTGTGTGTGTGTGTGTGTGTGTGTGTGTGTGTGTGTGTGTGTGTGTGTGTGTGTGTGTGTGTGTGTGTGTGTGTGTGTGTATGTATGTGTGTGTGTGTGCGCTCTTCCTACATCTTGCATTTCAGCCATGTGTTTCTGTATTCCTTTCTTTTTGCATCTCTGAGCATCTGTTGCATAAGCCATGTGTCACTGTCGAACAGAGCATCGCGTGTGAAGGTTGTGTGTGTGTGCTGGTGTGTGAGCGTATTTAAAAGTGTGCTCCGTGTTTCGGTTCGTTTGACCTTTGCAATAACCTCGCTCCGCCGCGCACCGCTGCTCCACTATGGATCCACACACACCGTTCATCTGTGTGTTGTGTGGAAACTGAGACAGGGACAGAGAATAAGAAAGGAGAAAGAAAGAGTAATAAAAACATTAATGTTTAATTCCATAGTTGAATTTTTGCAGTTTTGATATAGGTCATGCATAATTTATACCAAAGTCATGAATTGAATTAAGGAGAGTGAAAGGGACTCATTTTTAAAACAGTAGCAGAAATAGAGATGTCTGTACTCATTGTCCTCAGGTCAAAGGTCATTTAGGCACACAGGTTTAATGAAATTGCAGTTTTACGCTTTGTGCATATGGATCATGACTTTGATTGCAATCTGAATCCTTGCCTTGGTTCACTGAATAATCAACAATTCTTACATGAGGAGGTAATTGAAATGCATTCCCTGGGTGAGACGTGAGCCAAATGAAGCCATAATACGATTGGGGATAAATAATTAAAAAGGACTTTTCATTAGCCGCTAGGAGGCTGCCGTCATTTCTTTGAATGAATTGTTCCATTCTTTGGTTCTTTGTTTGGATATTTGCGCTTTGTTTTCTCCTTTGGTTCTTCTCCGGTAACTCTGTTCGTTCCTTGGTTTGTTTGTTGGTTGGTTGTCTCTTTGGCATTCTGGACCTTTAATCTGTTGGTCATTTCTTTAATAATTGTTTTCATTTGTTGGTTCTTCCTTGGTTGCTAGGCTCTTTCATTAATCATCCCATGTATGAAACTGGTCCATTACATTTTGCAGATGTGATATATTTAATAAAGAATTACTTGGTTGCTTGGTTCTTAATCATTTTGCATGGCAACTATTTCCAGTGTTGGCATAATTAGTTTAGCCGATCTCGACTGTTTCATTTGTTGCCCTGTTCCAGAGATGCTGATGTGTGCAGATGGTGTGGTTTAATTGTATTGGTGAATGTACAAATCAATAGAGCCACAAGAAGGGAAATTGGAGTTGTAAAAGATGGGAGATACTGTATAAACGAGCAAGGCGAAATGCAGGTCAGGTGGAGGTGGTCGAGGGATGGCTAGATGAATGCTGAAAATAATGATGAAACAAAGACACAAAGATGGAGAGAAATAAAGGAAGGGAGTGATAAAGTGATGGAAAGGGGTGGAGTTACAGGTAAAAGATGAACAGAGAGGAGAAGCAGTGGAGTACAGGGAAGCTGCTGGAGGTGTGGAAGCGATGGATGATTGCTATGAAGATGGAGTGTGGGACCAGATTAAACCTAATTACAACATCATAATGACTTTGTTGGGTGTAACGAATGGATGGAAACCATTTGGTTGGAGATAAAGAATGGAGCATGAACTCTTTAATGAAGGATAACACATAACACATTTTTGGATAATTCTGCATTAGCATGGGATGGATAACATGACATGCTAAAAAAAAGTTAGACTGACTAAAGACCTCAAATATAGCCTTACTTTATTCCGTTTAGTTTTTGGATATATCTTTTAAAACTTTTAATATTATTTTAATTATAAATTATATTAAATTATATTTACTGGTTTTTTTTGTGTGTTTTAAGTGAACTGTTCCGAAAAAGATTTTCTATTTTCTTTAGACTTTTAGTCTGTAGAGTACATGTGGGCCAGTACTTGTCTGCAGCTCCATTCAGATATTTCCACATATTTAGCATATAATAAATAATGCACTTACTGCGATTTGGATATTGCATCAGTCCATTTTGTGATTTTCATAACATTTTAATTAATAAAGCAGCCCTAACATGAAGCATGTCTCAAGCAGTTAAAAAAAAAAATCTCAAAATTGGTTTCAGTCTATTAGTTATCCTTGATATGATACATGTATGTCTTATGTCTTGTGTGTGTACATGTGTGTGTGTGTGTGTGTGTGTGTGTCTGTCTGGCGACCAGCACATCTCTTCAGTTCTTGCCCTCAGTATGCTTTGACCTCTGATCATCGGCCCCATGTGGTTGTCAGAGAGTTTTATCTAACGTGACACTTGATCTAAATTAATGGCAAAAACAACTTTAACTACCTTTAGGGTACACACACACACACACACACACACACACACACACACACACACACACACACACACACACACACACACACACACACACACATTACATTCACACAAGTGGAATATTGACATTGAATGGAAGTAAATATGAAGTAGCTTGTAAATTAAATTAAATACTTTCATCCCAAGCTTGGCAATATAACTTCAGGGCCTAATGTTAAATAAGGTGAGGTCACAGCCCAAGTTGTCAGGTACAATCCTGTGAGAAGCTGGAGTGTGTGCAGAGAGACTAAGGCACACACACTGCCCTTGAACATTACACTAAAGTCCTAACTGAGGCGGGCAATGCAGAACTTTGAGTGTGAAGTTGATTAAAAAGTGCAACTGTGCTTAATCAACCTTCCCACTTGAAGGTTAAATTAATAAGCTGTGACACTTAGATGTAAATGTCCATTTTGTTACCCTATTCTTATTGAAAAGTGGGGGAACCAATCTCGAGTCAATCACAACTAAACTCCATGTGCGCATTTCACTTAGGTTTTTCAGTCAGAAATGACAGCATCTTTGCTAAAAAATGTTGGTTGTCAGTGAATCCGGCAGTTGGTTAATGCATACTGTAAGCCTCACACACACAGAGGGTGGATTGCCAGATTTCTGGTGGGGCTGAGCAAGCAAAAAAGTTTTTTGACAGATTTAATACTTGTTTATATTCCAAAAGTGGAGCTGTCTCACCACCATTCAAAGTGTTTTTAATGCATTTATTTGAAGGGAAAAAAAAATGTAAATCTAACACACATTTAGAAAGCAATTGGATTGAGTATAGACATTGCAATGAGTGCCTACTTTTGTCACTGTGTCAAACGGACAATAGGTTTGAGTTTTACGTTTTTCCAACATAGTTTAGTCCCTTTGGATTTCTGGAAGGGGTGCTGAGCAAAAATGGAATTAATGTTGTGGCTCTGCGAGATTCTTTAAATAAGCTTCCTATCACATTTGATGTATCGCAATAAATACATTAATCCGGGATATCGAGACCATAACACTTGAAACAGCACCAATTATTTTCTAACTGCTGCCCTGTTATTAGGTGAAGAAAATGGACACATATTTGGTTCCTCTTGGATAGAAAGTGATGTGCCCTTTTTTTCCTACACCTGCAACAGTAGTTACATTGGAAATTACGTGTCATTATGAGGATTACAACCTACAATGATGGAGGAAAATAGTCCCACCTACACAGAACTTTGCAGGAAACAGTGTCACAGTCCCTGGTTAATTAATAGAAAAGTGATTTTTGGAAGTGCCGTGGTTAACAGCAGGACTTTTAATGGTCACCGCTGCCCCATATTGGGATGTTTACACTCTCTGAAACACCCAGATTTAATATTTCAGAGCCACTAATTTAATGCGGGGCTCGGTGAGGAGCTCCAGAGACTCGTATATTTTGCGGTTCGGCAAAGGGGAGATTTGTTTGGGAGCTGTGAGAGAAGGACATCTGCATTTTAATTGATTTCAAGCAGGATATTTTTAAATGTATGTGAACATAAATAAATTATTCATGCCTAAGAATATGTGTGTTTATTAGCGGTTGGTGTGGTGTCAGTGGAAGATATTGTAAACTACTGTAAATGTTTCTTCTGCGTTTCTATAGAGACTGTGTGTGCATATTCTCAGTGGGTGCTGTAAGTGTCAGAAAATGGGTTTTAAAGGAGGTATTTTGTGGTCTTGTAACATTAATATAACAATGTGTGTGTTTGTGTGTGTTTTAGGCAGCTAAGCCAGATGGTGGAGTCAACTACAAACCACTGAGATCAACTGATGTGACATCACCTCGCCGCACCGGGCTGCAGACGCAATCTGTATGTGAGTGTGCATATTTTATCTACGTGTGTGTGTGTGTGCTGATGGACCAATCAGAAGGTCAGGGTGACTCAGGGACTCACCTGTGTGTTGAGTCTCTATCCAACTTATAGACGCTCTTCTTTCCTGCCTCTCCAGCAGAGTGGTACTTTCACTCATGGCTGCACACACCCATCGAGCGTGCTCAGCATAATGAACACACACACACACACACACACACACACACACACACACACACACACACACACACACACACACACACACACACACACACACACACACACACAGTTAGACACACGCGGGCAGAGCAGCAGTAATTAACAGCTAACCGCGAGAAGCTATTATCATTACAGGAATGAGGTCCAGCAGAAAACTGTTTTTAGGAACTAAAGCAGGATCGTTGTGCCCTAACATGTTCCCCACACAACATCATTTATTTCTCAAAGGATATACTGAAGAATATTTCTGACACTGGAGACCGCAATGCAAAGTGTTGAGGGGCGTTATTGTTATAATCTGCGGTACAAAGATAGTAGCTGCACCCAATGGCAAGGATTATCTTAAAGTAAAACAAACAAATTATGTCTTGTTAGAAGAAATGTTAATCAAATCAAATGATAGCAACACATACAAAGGTGCTCAAACAGTCAAATTGAGATTTAATAAAAAGCTTTTTCATTTAAAGGAGACCTATCATGCTATATTTGAATAATATATTGTAGGGCCATACCTATATAAGGTATATTTATTTATACGTTTTCTTTTTCAAAATACCAAACAGATCATGCATTTTAGCCATGCCTCATTTCGCTCTATTTCGCTCTCCTCCATCATGCGCTGCAGCTGACCACGCCCCCCTGCAAAGGAGGGGGCCGAGTTACGAGCATCATGTTACCATGCTGTTACCATGCCACGGCAACCTCTCATTCTCCTGTTTGGTGGAGAGTTGGCCATATAGGCGGAGCTCCTCGTCACTGACGTCAGACTATTTTCAAATCTGTATCAGTTTGTATCAGATCTGTTAAAGCCCTGTTTTTAGAGATTTTGGGTATGGAGGAAAAGGTACAAAGGTGCATTTTGCATGATAGGTCCCCTTTAATGTTTCTGTTCTGTGAGAAGCAATGTAAATGCCTTTAGGAAAAATGACATCTTCTCACCGGATTTGGTTGCATGCGTGCAAATTGCGCCACAAATGTCCACTGGTAGTGTGTTAGAAGTGGATTGTGCGAGCAGTGTGTTCTCCCACAAACAGCTTTCCAGTCTTTTTAGTGTTTATTGATGACATTTAATGATATTTTGTGTTTAATACTCTACTTTCCTACAACTTCTTAGAGGTGTATTAAAAGCAGATCACTTTACTCAACTGATCTAAACAATGGTACACAGCATACTGTACCATCTAAGCTTTATTTTGTACCTGTGTTTCCAGAGTTCAGACACAATTGATTCTTAAGAGAACATACATTCCAAATTCTATGGCAATCCATCCAATAATTGTTGAAATGTTTTAGTTTTTGACCAATGTTGTTGACTGACCAACCAACTGACCAAAAAATACTAGCTTGGCTAAAAACTATTTTATATTACACATTGTTACAAACTATTGCAAGGCTCTTTCTTTGCTTGATAAGTTAATTTCAAGTATTCCAAAAGTACCTGGAGGTGGTTTAACTTTCTACCTGATTTGCTTTAATACAATGTGGAAACAGAATCGATTCCGTTTTGTCACAGTGTAATGAGTAATCTTAGCTGGAGAGCATTTCAAAATTAAACATCCCGAGTGCGGCTGCTATTCAGAGATGAACGCATTAGTCTCCAGACAAATTGGGTGAAATTGTCCCCTCCACTCCTCCTGTGTGGACTAATGGAGACAGAAGGCTGCGGCCACCCGCCCTGCATTGCTGCTGCTCAAATTGATCCCTGTCTGCACCCCGGTCAACTTCACAGATTATATTTGCTTCAAAACATATTGACTTTTTCTTCGCCCATGTATTTTTTTCCATCAGACGGTATTAGAGTAAGAACAATTTGCATATAATGTGGTATTGCGTGCTAAATCTCTCCCTTTCATACGTGATTGGAGGCTTTTACAGATTTCATGCAGGATCTAACCAGAAGCTCATGAGTCAAGATTGTGTGTGTGGTTGTGTGTGTATAGGATTTGTATTCCTCCTCAAGGTTAAAATGGAAAACCACACCGTCCATATTAGTCAGGCAATATATCTTCTTTAGCTCCTTCTTCTTTTTCATAGCGGTCCCTCATTTCTCCTCACTGCTTTATTGGATGCTTTCTCCTTCCTTTTGTCGTCAACCACATCGTAAATATAAACTCTCCTCTCCCCACTCTCCTCTCCCCTTCTACTCCATCGATTGTGGCTCCCGTTAATTAAGCACATTTATTTCTAATGAGCCAAACACTGATTAGCTTGTTGCAGTCGTAGAAACAACCTCTTGCGATTCTGCAGACAGACCTTCAAACACCAGGTCAGAATAATCAGACAGCACTCAGACCTCAGTGCACCGCGGTGGATTTGAGCTAAATCACAGTTATAGCTACAGTCTCAAGAGGTTTTGGACCAAATGCCAGGAAAATAGCCTTTCTTCCGCCAACCTTTACCTCACAGACAAAGAGTATCGAGGAGAGGGTTACAGGTTACTGAGAACATGAGATTTATGTTTAGGAAATGTATTTCAGAGACAGTTTTACTAGTCAGTGTCAGAACAGCAAGCCTCCTGCTGTTCATCCAGTGATGCAACATTCAGCACATTACACAGAGGAAGGTCCTCTCTTAAATTACTTTTGCACACCATTTATGTGTCTTGGGATGTTGCTAAAAAATAAGTGTCGGAAGCACATGGATTGCAGTGCAAATACACTTTCTCGCCAGAGGTTGAAAAGGTGTAAATACATGTGTCTCTCCAGTATGCAATACCACTTAAGTGAAGTGACTGGGAAGTTATATCTCCGCAGCCTAGTGGCCCCACAAATAACCTCCATACTGTGTGAATCCACACCTAAAGAGTTATGTCTAATGCGAGGTAGGAATAGTTTGTCATGAGCCGCGCTGTGCCTTAGGGTCATTCTGGCAAAGTGGCAATAGTTGGAATTGAGCTGGACTTCCACAAGAACAAAATGATTCCCAGAAGCATCCAAAATTTATTTATTTAGTAATATGAGTACAAGTGAGCAACAAAGTGTGGATTCTGAAGTTGATGAAACCATTTCAGACACCTAAGCAAGACGATAAGTAAACAAATGGAAGCCCTACTAAACTTCACTGTGCACCATCTTAAAATATGTCATTTAGTCATTTTAAAACATCCGAAAATATATATACGGAGAAGTATTTATTATTTTGAGAATCAAGTTAAAATATCTAGAATAAAGTATAATCACTAACACTAGTAGTTGAAAAGATCAAGTCTATTTTCAACATTTGCATTTTTCTTTACTCCTAAAATGGATAGACATACACAATCAGATTTGTAACCAAGCTAACGGCTAAGAGAAAACATAATTGAAAGTGGTTTAGGATCATCTTCAAAGCCCATAGGGGTGTGAAGCAGTATTTGGGTGTAGGAGTTTTATTTAAGTCCTGCACTTCTCTAATCAATGCTCGCACAAGTTGCCGACTAATCCTTCCACTCAGCTCCCCAAACAGTCAATAAAGGCAGAGTGCAGAGAATACCACTTTAGATGTGGTGATACCAGAGAGGAGTTCAAATCATTTAAAACATCAACATTGGAGGAGGAATCAGGAGAATTCATGTGAAACATCGCCATGTCCTCGGTCTAGTTTCATCTGTGTGTGTGGTAGGTGTGTGTGACCTTGAAGTAACGAGGTCCCTTCAGCTGTTGATTGCCAGGCCTGTCTGGTGTCGCTGCTGGTGATGCTGTGAATTGATTCTGTGCCAGGCCTCGAAAATGTCCACCCTTCCCCCCCCATCCAAATCTAAATCTCTCTCCCTCTGGCTTTTTGTGCCCTCTTTCTTTTGATGCCTCCCTCTCTGTCTTTGTCTCTTTATTCCCGGCCTTGCAGTCTGTCCTCCAACTGAGTTTAACTGCCAACCTCGCTTATCTGTGGTTAAGCCTGTGCTACAGCTACAGCTACAGCTGTGTGTGTGTGTGTGTGTGTGTGTGTGTGTGTGTGTGTGTGTGTGTGTGTGTGTGTGTGTGTGTGTGTGTGTGTGTGTGTGTGTGTGTGTGTGTGTGTGTGTATGTGTCTGTGTGTGTGTGTATGTGGTTGGTGTGTGTGTGTGTGTGTTGTGTGTGTGTGTGTGTGTGTGGTGTGTGTGTGTTGTGTGTGTGGTGTGTGTGTGCTACTCAGGCGCTAATTGTAAGCTGTTATAACTCTTGCCAACCTCTTGTCAGCTGTCCCAGTCATTACTGCAGTGACAGTGAAGGTCTACTTGCATTGATTTTCCATATTTACAGCCTTGTGTGTGTGCATGATTAGGGAAGATATTAAAGCTGTGCGTGTGAGTAGTGTGGGGAGCATAAATCTGTTTTTTAATAAGTCACGTACACCCGCTCCGCGGAGCATTCGGAGACTT